GGAAAGTCACTTTAAAGGGACAGTTCACTCACAAATGAACATTTGCTGTAAATTACTCACCCTCAAGCCATCCGAGATGTACCGTGACTCCAAATTATATACTTGTATACCATATTTATAAATGTATTTGTTTTATAAAAAAAAAAATAATTATTTATATTTTATAAAATAAAATATTTTATAGATAATTTATCATTTATAATTTTCTTTAGACCTGTTTTGCACTCCAGAATCTGACAGATTGATTAGCTGTAGGCTGTAGGTTGTCATCATAAGGAAACATTTATCGTACCAAAATATTTCCTAAAGATTTACAACAATTAAAAATGATTAAATACTTATTTTTAAAATACAAATTTATTAGATCATAAATCATTAAAAAAAATGGGAATTAAAATAAATTAAAAACTGTAGCCTATTGTAGCTAAACTGGCCAGAACATTCAACTGTCCTCAGTCAGAATTTGGTTATTTAAATAATAAAAAAATAAACATAATGATAATAATAAAAGAGCTTCACACTTTTTCTAGCATCGCTTGTAAAAAAAAAAAAAGTACATTTGATTTGATTGAAAATTGATGGATAACAAAAATAGCCAAATTAGTTTTCACATTAATTTTAATTTAGCATTTTTCCTGGTCTTAAAGCCTTTTTCAATGGATTAATTTAACTATTTATGATGGCATAGCAGTCAAAATAAGACAAATGAGCTCATCTATGGGACAAATTCTGGACCTTTGTCATTGAGGGGTGGGTTTTCCCAACCACCTGAACCCCCCTGGCTATGAGCCTGCATAGTTACCATAAAAAAGGTTCAAATTGGGATAATTTTGGGATAACTTACCACTACTTTTTTTAGGTTGGAGCTGGAATTCATGTATATGCTGCAAAGTCAGTTCAATATACAGCGTGCATCGCATTATCAGACTATTATTATGATATCTTGAAAACAGACTGAACTTCAGGCCGGGTGACCTGGCCCAATAAACTCACTACACAGACAGCATGACCGTCCTTCTCTGAACGGCAGATGGCCATGGCGTGACCGCATTATAACTCACACGTCTCCCTCGTCAGCCATCATTCAACACAGACGCGTGCCCTAACCGACAGCGGGAGATGCCTCTCTATAGCAGCCTCTCGTGACACAACCTCTCCAATGCAGTGCCTCGCGATATTTGCAAACAAAACATATGGATCATATTTATTATCACTTGACAGTAACGGAGGAACGCCGCAAAATGTAGCGAAGAGTAATGATTTTTCTCTAATAATTTACTTGAGTAAAAGTGCACATATTTAAATGTACTCAAAAAGTACACATTACCCAATAATTTTACTTAAGTAAATGTAACGAAGTACTGTAAATGTAACTCATTACTACCCACCTCTGGTCAAAACACAAACGAATTGCAAGTAATGAAGTATTAAGCGTTTCTCCTAAAGAAAAGGCGGTCTACGCAAAATACTAGCAGGCATCTGTAGCTCAGCTCACGCTCCACCTCTTTGCTCTTTTTTGGTTACCCCCAGTCGGTGCGATGACAAGCGAACAAAATGGTGATCGTTGGCAACGCCTATTTGTAGCTTCATTTGTGTTCTTCAGAAACCTATGGGTGACGTCACAGACACTACGTCCATATTTTTTACAGTCTATGATCATTACTTTACTATAACAGTAAGCAGGATTTTTTTTTAAATATGAACTTTTTTTTTTGGTGATACTGTTGTCTTTAATGATTTATAAAATAAAAGTCGATGGCTACTGCCATTTTGAGAGTCAAAAATCATATACAGGTGACACAAAATCAAAAAGGTCATAAGGTGTGATTTTTATGTTTTTCTTTATCTTTGAAATGTTACTAGCTGTTCATGGAAGTAAACCCATTGTAACTTGGAACTGTTAAGTTGGCTTAATTGTTATAATTTTGCACATACAGTAATTCATTTGCTATTAGGTGCTGTAAGTTTTTGATAATTCTGAAAACTTAACCTTAAAGGAATATTTTAAGAAACATACACTGTAAAAAATGCTTGGTTTCACACAATATTTTCCTTACACTAGGATAATGCTGCTATTTGAAAGTTCTTTATAAATGTCCTTTAAAAACTGTAACACAAAAATATATTTAGTTTACATATACAGTTGAAGTCAGAATTATTAGCCCCCTTTTGAATCCAAACCCCCCCCCCCCCCTTTTTTTTTTTTATAAATATTTCCCAAATTATGTTTAACAGAGCAAGGAAATTATTACTGTGTGTCTGATAATATTTTTTCTTCTGGAAAAAGTCACATTTGTTTTATTTCAGCTAGAATAAAATGAGTTAATAATTTTTTAAAAACCATTTTAGGGTCAAAATTATCAGCCCATTCCATTATATATATTTTTTTTGATAGTCTACAGAACAAACCATCATTATACAATAACTTGCCTAATTACCCCAACCTGCCTAGTTAAACTAATTAACCTAGTTAAGCCTTTAAATGTCACTTTAAGCTGTATAGAAGTGTCTTAAAACCATTGTCAAAAATGATGTGCTGTCATCATGGCAAAGATAAACTCAGTTATTAGAAATGAGTTATTAAAACTATTATGTTTAGAAATGTGTTGAGAGTATCTTCTTTTCATTAAACAGAAATTGGGGGAAAAAAAATAAACAGGGGGGCTAATAATATCGACTTTAACTATACTCAATTTGTAGGTATGCTTTTTCCCACAAAATGATTTAAAGATGAAGTCAATAAACTAGTCAAAATGCAGCATTGACTAAGCTAAGACTAGTATGTTGATATGCAACCGCCTGTTCTAACGGCAAATTACCTTGTAAAGCCTTAACGCCGTTTTGACATGTTAGCAAAACCACCATTAACATTATTAGCTCTCTTAAATTGAGTTTTATTAATTCACGAGTCTCTCTCTGAAATATATGACTCCTCATAATTTCTCACACGGTTAATTTACTCTGCAGCCATGCCAAATCAAACACCTTGAGCACCATTTTTTTTTCAGTTTTATATATATCCAGTCATTTGGTTTAGCAGAGGACGTTGTTAAATTATAGGGATTTTAGTATTTTGATATGAAGTCATTGCATCAGATGAAAACCTGTGAAGCATGTTTAAAAAATTACAGCATTTCAGATGTTCATTGCTTGATGTTAATATGGGTCTATTTCAAGACTCAAAGATGTATTTTAGTGTGTAAAAGGTGTATTTGTATAAAGATTTAAAGGTTTATATTCAGTGATCAGCATAAGTACACCCCTCACAAATTCATCTTTTAAATTTATATTTTTAAAAGGAAGACATACAACATTATATTTGTGCATATACATTAGATTAGTCGGTACTGAAGCCAAATCTGGAGCTTATCTAACAAAATAACTTATGATAACAGTCCAAAAATGAGTACAGCCAAATTTATATGTTATAAAAAAATGTTAAATACAAAATTTTAAAAGAGGACAACTCAAGAGAAGTAAAAAGAAAAAGAAAAATTCAGCTGAAATTTAGTAGGTTGTAATTTTTTTTTTGTAATTATATTTTGTCTGAATTTAATTGTATTATCTTTCAATTTCTAAATATGTTTGGTGACTAAAATATTATTTTAATAAATATATCTATTTAGTAAATCTGTTTTGTTTAAATGCACCAAAATTCATTGCCTTTATTCAATGAAAAATTGATAAAAATATTCATTTTCAAAATGGGCTGTACTCAATTATGCTGAGCACTGTAGATAGAAAGAACAAAGTGATTGAAACGAAATAATGTCAAAATATGAAAAAGTGAAATGTATTCTGTGTAATATTTATGTAAAATACCAAATGATAATAACAACTACAACAATACAACATTATTGGAATTATTAGGAATCTTTATTGAATAATATATGAAGGAAAAACTGATCATATAAAATTATATTATATTTTAAATTACTAACAACTGACAATAGGTAAAAACTAGTGGTTAAAATGACTACGAAAAAAAAAACACTTTTACCTTGTTTAGAAAAACAATCCTAATTAATTCAAATTAATCCAACTAATAACTAATAATAATAACTAATGTGTGTGTGTGTGTGTGTGTGTGTGTCTGTCTGTCTGTCTGTCTGTCTGTCTGTCTGTCTGTGTGTGTGTGTGTGTGTGTGTGTGTGTGTTTGTGTGTGTGTGTTTGTGTGTGTGTGTTTGTGTGTGTGTGTGTGTGTGTGTGTGTGTGTGTGTGTGTGTGTGTGTGTGTGTGTGTGGAGTATATACTTTTTTTTTTACTAATTTTGTTTTATTTTATTTACATTTTTGTTATGTAATCACCTTTTTGCCTATTCTTTTATTATTTGTTTTTTTATTTTTTGTTTTATATACATTTATAATCAGACTTTTTATTTTATTTTATTTTATTTTATTCATATTTTTTAATTGTAGAACTTCCTCCAGCAGATTGTATATGGCAGATGTCTTTTTTATGTAAATGTATCCTCAATCAAAAAAAGAGTTAATAAATACAGGTTGAATTATTAGCCCCCCCTGAATTATTAGCCCCTCTTTTCCCCCAATTTCTGTTTAACATTTCTACACATAATAGTTTTAATAACTAACTTCTAATAACTAATTTATTTTATCTTTGCCATGAGGACAGTAAATAATATTTTACTAGATATGTTTCTAATTTTCAATTTTCAGTGTATTTTATTTTATTTTATTTTATTTTATTTTATTTTATTTTATTTTATTTTATTTTATTTTATTTTATTTTATTTTATTTTATTTTATTTTATTTTATTTTATTTTATTTTATTTTAGAACATACTCCAGCAGATTGTATATGGCAGATGTCTGTTTTTTTATGTGAATGTATCAGCAATCAAAAAAGAGCCAAATATGAGGATTCTGGGCAGGTCTTGTTTGATCCCACAGATGAACCGCCATATTTCGCTCGTCCTGACATTTACGTCTCAATCCTACGTGTTGTTTATCTTTCTTCTTTCTTTCTTCCTCATTGAAAGACGGCAGTTCGGAAGATGACAGTGAAGAAGACGCGGAGAACGAGGAACCAGACAACAGGGACTATGTGAGTGTTTTAGAGATTTGTACGCACCACATCTCGGCCTGTGTCGTAATTTTGACAGATCGAACGGTGTGCGTGTAAATCCATTCTCCCTCTTAAAACGTGATTGAAGAGCCGGTTCTGCTCGTGACACGAACGGCTTCCTCTTCTCACATAACTTCAATAATAGAGCCCTGATTCAGCTATAAATCAATGAGTTCACAATCCAGATCCTGCTGAGCCAAAACGCCCTCATCCTCCTCAAATACTGCTAATGCATTTCTTTATTTGCATGTCTTTTGTTTTGATGCATGGTGTCCACACTGCAGGGTAAACGCAGGACATTTATAGATACTGTATGTCCATGAAATATTACTCATTTTAGTTTACTGTGACCCTAAATCTATCTATCTATCTATCTATCTATCTATCTATCTATCTATCTATCTATCTATCTATCTATCTATCTATCTATCTATCTATCTATCTATCTATCTATCTATCTATCTATCTATCTATCTATCTATCTGTCTGTCTGTCTGTCTGTCTGTCTGTCTGTCTGTCTGTCTGTCTGTCTGTCTGTCTGTCTGTCTGTCTGTCTGTCTGTCTGTCTGTCTGTCTGTCTGTCTGTCTGTCTGTCTGTCTGTCTGTCTGTCTGTCTGTCTACCTGTCTGTCTGTCTGTCTGCCTGCCTGCCTGCCTGTCTGTCTGTCTGTCTGTCTGTCTGTCTATCTACCTGTCTGTCTGCCTGCCTGCCTGCCTGCCTGTCTGTCTGTCTGTCTGTTTATCTATCTATCTATCTATCTATCTATCTATCTATCTATCTATCTATCTATCTATCTATCTATCTATCTATCTATCTATCTATCTATCTATCTATTTGTGAAGATAAATATGGTTGAGTCTCTGGTCGAACTCAAACAGCATTTATATCTCAGTGTTTCCTCAACGATAGGAGGATGATTTGGAAACTGATGTGAACAAGCTGCGTCCCCGACCCGAACCTGACCGGCCCCTGGAGCAGCTGGGCCAATATGTGCATCTCTGCCCCGAACTTCACCATGACTTCCAGGTGAATGTCTAAACTGTCTGTCATAATATTGTAACTTGGTGTTTGAAAGTGTCACGAAAACATCACCAAATTTGTCTGAGATTTATCGACAGATTTATTTCCAAGCAAGATTAGCATCTGTTAGCTTTAAAATGTAGGGAACAACTGGTTAATTTTAGGTTTTTACCCCCTGATTTCATCTTCTAGGTTTAAAATCTATATATTTTTGATCGGTAACATTGGTGAGTGATGTAGGATAGGACTGCAAGTGCTTTGATGACACGTTGGTGTCTAATTATTATTAATGAGACTAAGTTTTCTTATCCTATAAGTAAAGCTGCTTCTGAAATATTCAGTTAAGCTGTGAGACCACACAGTAGTTAAGCATTCATGATGGTCACGGTAGACTTAGAAGTATCAACATCTTCAAACCTGTACTGAAATATAAAAAGTATTGACAATAGCAGCATTTCCTACTTGCATTTTGAGCACTGCTGAGTGGATATTTGAACTGCTGAACTGCTGATTGGCCATTGTGTTCATGCGCTCAACAGATATGACTGTGATTGGCTCTAATGAACGTCGTTTTACAAGAGTCTAGTTTCTGTCCTGCTTTTGTCCATTTGTCAATATTCCTCCATTTTGTTAGCAATGCACAACTTTCAAGAATGCAATCAGTTCCCAAAGTACAAAATCATGCAATATCCTACAATTATTTTGCAACAAAGACCTAAACAACCATCCTAGATTTACTTTATCCCACCTACATTATTACACACCTACTTGCCACAAAACATTGTTCTGAGCTTAATAGTTTATTAATTTGTTATTTAAATGCAAAGCTGACATAAACGAAAACAGCTGATGGAATATACACTAACCTGCGCATAATTTAGCCACAAGATGGTGCTAAACAATCAAACGAAGCTGAGAGAAACAAAACAGCTAATGGAGTATACACTAACTCGCGAATAATTCAATCAAAGGTGGTGCCAAACAGTCAAAAATGTGAATCTGTGAGAAACAAAACACCTGTTGGAGTATACACTATCTTGTGCATAACTCCACCAAAGGTGGTGTCAAACAGTCAAAAATGTGAAGCTGACAGAAATAAAAACACCTGATGGAGTATACACTAACCTGTGCATAATTCAACCACAAAATGGTGCCAAACAATCAAAAATGCGAAACAGAGAAACAAATCAGCTGATAGAGTATACACTAATCTGCGCATAATTCGGCCACAAGATAGCGGCAAACAGTCAAAAACGCAAAGTTGACAGAAACGGAAACAGCTGATGGAGTACACACTAACCTGTGCATAATTCAGCAACAAGATGGCGCTAAACTGTCAAAAACACAAATCTGACAGAAGCTAAAACAGCTGATGGAGTACACACTAACATGTGCATAACTCAGCCACAAGATGGCGCCAAACAATGCTAATCTGACTGAAACAAAACCGGCTGAATAAAGCAAACACTGACCTGCATAATATAATATAATGCATTACAAGATGGCGCCAAACAGTACAAAACTGTCAAAAAACGTGGCGTTATAGACAAGCAAATACACTGTAAAAATGTCAATGATCAAGTAGTCACGACAACCTATGTTTTAAGGTAATTGTAACTAATTATACTTATATATAAGTTAATCATGCTCTAACTTAATTGTATAAGTTACACAAGCCATTTTAAGGAAGTTTTATATAATGTGAGTTCAAATGACTAATACAGTTAATTTGATTCAGCTTAAAAATATAAAGCAATAAGTATTTGTTTACAGTGTACATGATGTGAATGTAAATATATGGATTTGAACGTATTCTCTGATGGCCAAGGAGTTTCGAAGTTTTCAGATGAGCCATTGTTATTTAGCGGTTGTTATCTCAGCATAACAAACATTGAAATGTTACGACTGACCAATTAGATCCAAGTATTCCTGATAGCTGTGTTATAAGTTGGGTTAAAAGAACCCAAATTTAGAGTGTAAATGTTTATATGATGTTGACTTCAATCCCCTTCTAAAGAAAAAGTGTTGTTTTTTTTTTAAGTGTCAGCATCTCAGGGGTTTAGTTGTTGCATCCAGGCGTGAAAGTTACGAGTGTTCAGCTCTTAAAAGCAGACGCCCAGGATAAAGTTTATATGAAGTGTGTTGTAAGTGCACTCCGGGTGAATATGGACCTGAATGTGTGATTTTGATCGGCGCTGGATGTGCTATAATACCTATTGCAACGGCACCAATGTGCAGCTTAAGAGCACAACAGGGACACGGCCTGGACCGAAAATTACCTCATTATGCTTTGGGAGAAAAAATCATGCACTTGGCTGCGTGTTTGCCTTGCTCTTCATCCTAATAGAGTGATTCTGCTCCTGTTTTTTTTGCTGACCTGAAGTGTTCTGGGGAAAATTGAGGAACATCCTGTTGGCACAATGTCCACAGGAAATGATTCATTAGAACTCTAGCTAGATCTTGGTAATTAGGGGTGGTTTTCACTTGTTGGTCAAAGAAATATGTGTGTATTTATTTTTGTAAATGTACAGGCTGGGTAATTGGGTGACAAATGTGGTTAAAAATCTAAATGTGTGGTGGGTAACAATAAGGTCAGATGCTCACTTTCAGCTCATCATTCTTAAAAGTGCTGGATTGGAAAAGTGCATGACTGGAACTTGTAGTCCAAAATGGTGAACTTGTAGGCTTAATTGCTAAATCGCTGGTGACCATGACAGAAAAGTTATATGTAAAAACATTTTAAAGATTGTCAGTTTAGAACAGTGCACATGTTTAACAATTGATTATATACAATGTTTGTGTGTGTATGTGTTGTGACACGTATTTTGTAATTTAAATTTTTTTTGTTACTCTTTTGTCTGCCTGTCTTGACCAGGACTCCCTAAAAGAATAGATATTGTGTCTCAATCATTTTTAGAAATTTTTCATTTGTGGTTGAATAAATAAATAAATAAATAAATAAATAAATAAATAAATAAGTAAAATAAATAAATAAAAAAATAAAAAAATAAAAAAATAAAAAAATAAATAAATAAGGACACACCCAACCATTTAGTTAAAAAAGCGAGTAGTTTAATTGGTAAACTAACCCAAAAGCTGGGTTTATTTATTTATTATAATTATTATAATAATAATAATAATTATTATTATTATTATTTTATTATTATTATTATTATTTGCTTTTTTGTTGTTGTTGTTATTATTATTATTATTGCTTTAATATTTTTGCTGTTTTATTATTATTATTATTATTATTGTTGTTGTTGTTGTTAATATTATTAGCAGTAGTATTGCTGTTGTTATTATTATTATTATTATTATTATTATTATTATTATTATTATTATTATTATATTATTATCATTTAATGCTATTTATGTCATTATAAATTGACATAATGTTACGAATAAATTACATATATGTGTTTATATAAATATAAAACATTTATTTTAAGGATTAACAATAATAATAATAATAATAATAATAATAATAATAATAATGATAATAATACAAATAATAAAAATAATACTAATAATAATAATTATTATTATTATTAATTTAAAAAACATAACAAATATAAATAATAAAATTATAATAACAATTAAAAATATAAATTATAAAGTTGAAAAGAATACTATAATAAGAAAGAAATTCAGAATGAATTTTTTAAACTAAATTTCTGTCAGCATATTTTACATTATTTTCCTGTTATTTGTATTATTTTTGTTTACAGTGTAACTCTTGTTCATAGTTTGTTTGCAGATCTCAGGAGACCGCTCTCCATTCGCTGTTAACCCTGCTGCGGGTCAGTCAACCGCACCGCCATTGACAGGAATGAATGATGAAATTTCAACTTCTGTAATACGTTCAGTGTGACTCTTCATTTCAAATATGTCGCTACACTTTCCCATCACAAACCACTGCTATCGTTCCTGATTGACGGCTCTTCTGGCAGCACAATAACAGTATAATGTCTCACACAAATCCCAGTGCGGCCGCCTTTAGCATGCGGATGAGTTCCGACTAATAGAAATGTCAACACACACTCCAGTTCACCCAAGTTCAACATTCACTTATTCAGACGCCGCCACTATTTTAATTTCCGATGATATAACATGATGTAGTACTGCAGCTGAAATGCTGCTTTTCCTTGTTTCGCTTTTCTGCGTGTGTATTGATGTTGTAATTCAAGGTCTTGAAAGGAAGTGACGAGCTGCTAATTCACTTTTTTGTTTCAATTTAACACATTTAAAATCAATTCTGCCTGTAAATGTCACGCTGTTTCTAAAAACACTTCCTGCCAGGCTTCTTCTTCATAATGACAAGATATTAAACGATAAGTTCATCTGAAAATGAAAAAAATTATGTCAGTTTTGATTCGTCCACCACATTTCAGGTCCATATAGAGTATATGTGAGATTAATTTTCAGCACCGCTATGCTACTTGTGTCCTTACGTATTTACATTAAATTATATAACTGCAAATTATACTCATCTAAAAGTACCATGTAAATATTTTAAATTAAATATACATGTTATATTAATATAATATAATATAATATAATATAATATAATATAATATAATATAATATAATATAATATAATATAATATTTAAAACTACAGAGAAAAAAGGACAAGGGTAAACTGTAATAGACAACATACTTTATACACCAGCGCTCCACCTGTAATCGTCTGGTCAAAAACAAAAGACCACGATTAAAAGGGTTTAATTCACAACATCATGCTGTAGGAGAAAAAAATAAAATAAAAAAAATAAATAAATAAATAAATCAATAAATAAATAAATAAATAAATAAATAAATAAATAAATTTAATGGTGGGAAAAGACTAATTGCAATTATTTGTTTCTAAAAAGTTTGGTTTGACAATGTGTGTGTGTTTTATATAATTAATAATTATGTGATATACACTAAAGCACTTTTGTTAAATATATATTTAAATTTAGATAAATAGTATCATATATCTATATATTTTACATCTACATAT